TAGTACTGCAGTGTCATAGTGGTGTGGAGTTGTAGTACTGCAGTGTCGTAGTGCTGTAGAATTGTAGTACTGCAGTGTCATAGTGCTGTGGAGTTGTAGTACTGCAGTATCTTGTACCATGGTACTATAGTGCATGTGCATTATGACAGAGCATTTAACTTTACAATATCCTAATGCCAGAACGTTATGTTAACACTGGGACATACACATATATACCGGTGGTAACATCGGATTATGGTGATTTGGTAATATTGGAATCAGGTGATTTGGTAATCACATACATATATCTCATCAACCTGTTATACTTCTCATTAAGCTGTCATCATGTTTTCATGTTTTTCAAGCTAACCCTTCTGATGACCTCCCAATTTATGAAATGAATGCTACTCTTCAGTTTTAGAATATTGTTTTCAAATCGAAAACGTTTTTGCTGTGAATTTGTGTGCATGTTTTTAGTTATTACAAAAGTGAGCAGTTCCCTCAGTTGTATTGTAAAAATTTTTTCTGGTAATGGACTGACAGTTGATATTTGTTGTCTATAGCTGATGGTCGAGATGAATCAGAGGAAATCTGTTCACAGATCCTTCCTAATGAATGCACAGAAGACAAGGTTCCTTGTGATTCTGCTACTAAATGTGTCTCAATGTCAGCATTGTGTGATGGAATCCCAGACTGTGATGATGGACTAGATGAAGGAAACTGTGACGATTCAGGTTAGTCAGTGCGTTACTGGCTGATGAAATTGTGCGTGCAAAACAAATGTGAAATCAAGAAATATTTGTGACAAAATTTATCGAAGTCAAATTCGCTTATTTACAGTGCAATTCCCCTTGAGTATGATACTGGACCTTATTAGTTGGGTTTATTCATGGCTTTATCGTCAACATTAGCAAGTCTAATGTCCATTTCTAGTCTGCTACGCTACACTCGTAACTGTAACAAAAGAGTCAATTCAGTGCGAAATTTTAGAGACTTCTAATGATTAATCTGTATCTTTCAGGGTGTTCTGCCCCCAGAAAACTATCTTTGATGATGACGCATTTGTCCACTTTCACAGTATGAAGCGCATCAGTAAATTCCTGTCTCACGATTCCCTTTCAGTGTTAATTCACACATTTGTGACCAGCCGTCTGGACTATTGTAATTGTCTTTTGTATGGTTTGCCAACAGCACAGATAATGAAAATACTGCAACTAGACTTCTTACGAATACACCCAGGTTTCAACACATAACTCTGATATTGCATCACCTTCCCTTGTTACCTATTTTGTACAAGATTAACTTTAAAAGCATTTTGTTAAACATACAAAGCCATTCACATCTTGCTCCCTGACATTTACAGGATCTTGTAGTTATTATGAAGTAGTCTAGATCTCAGCTCAGGTCCGCAAACAATGGCCCTTTGTTAAGTTGTCCTAATGGTAAAATAATACCCACACTTGGTGATAGGGCATTTGTAATGGCTGCTCCTACATTTTGGAATGCCTTGCCATGGCTCATAAAGAGCAAACAGATCTAGAGTCTTGCCATTTTCAAATGTCAAGTGAAAACTTGTCTTTTTAATGGTGCATTTGCACGATGATGTTACTGTGCAAGTTATTTGATTTTCGGCGAGCTGCGGAGCAAGTACGAGCCTATGTAATACCGATTTCTGTCTTCTGTCCGTCCATCCAGTAGTCTGCCCTCAAATGTTAAAGTTTTTCCTTGCAGGTCCATAGGTGTTTAAATGTGCCATTGAGTGCTTGTTTGCTTCTTCTTGGAATTCCATCAGTATTTAAGAAGTCTCATTTGGCATTAATGCTTAGAAACTTATGAATTTAATGAAAAAATTATAAAAGTTGAATGTTGAAGTTTTGAGTTGAAAGATCAGGATGTTTGTTGGGGGGGAGAGGTACCTGTAGGAGGAGGATCATGGGGACAAAGTACATGTTTGTAGAAAGTGGATGAAATGCTGGATAAGGTTGGTGTAATGGTTGGGCTGGATTAGTGGGATGATGGGACAGCCAGAGTATTAAAGTGAAGGGAATGATGGGCAGGGGGCGGAGTAGGAGATGGATGGGATGATGGGCAGGGGGCGGAGTAGGAGATGGATAGGATGATGGG